GTTGGGGCATCGTCTGCCTCCTGGAGGCCATCCCGCCGTGGCCCTGTCAGGGGACCCCTTGGGAGGTCCCACCTGTCCGCTGGCTGTGGGGCTGTGTGGATGCTGCTGACCCGCTCGCTTCTGCCCTAGCTCCAAGGCGCTCAGGCCCCCGACCAGCCCTGGTGTGTTCGGGGCCTTGCAGAACTTCAAGGAGGACAAGCCCAAGCCCGTGCGGGACGAGTATGAGTACGTGTCGGACGATGGCGAGCTCAAGATCGACGAGTTTCCCATCAGGAGGAAGAAGAACGCCCCGAAAAGGGACTTGTCCTGTGAGTTGGGAGGGGGTGTCGGGAGGGGTGTGAGAGAGGCCTGGCCCGTCCCTGAGAGGTCCTCCCGGGGTGGCCGGCTCCCCGCAAGCGGCCCGCTGGACTCCCGTCTGCTGTGCTTTCAGTCTTGTTGGATAAGAAGACGGTGCTGCCCACGCCTGTCACGAAGCCAAAGCTGGACTCGGCAGCGTACAAGGTGAGCTGCCTTCCGGGCCCTTCTCGGTCTCGGATGCCATCTCTAGGCCGTCCCCAAGGCTGTGGTTGGAGTGACTCCAGGGCAGTGTCTGAGGGTGTTTCTTACCCTTGCCTCCCCTTTTCTGAGTGTTCTAAGGTCACATCCAACTCAAAGACACAGTGGTCATCTCTGCCGGGGCGTGTGAGGTCATGTCCCCGCTGAGCCCCCTGCTAGGGAGATTATGGGGATCTAAGTCTGTTAGCTATTTTCCTCCAGCTGGAGGTCCCTCTGGGGCTGCAGGCCCTGCCCCCACCTCTCCATCCAATAATGGTGGCATCTCTTTACATTTGTGACACACTGGGGCTCCCTCGAGTAAGGGTTCCTTTGAACCAGAGTTCCTCTGTGAATACGGCGCACAGTGTGAAACAGTTTGGTCCTTTGTGGTCCTGAGAGAGCTCTGGCACCTGCATCTGCCCTGTGTGTCTGTGTGTTGGCCATTCATCTGACCCAGCAGTGTTCATAAGAAGGGCAGTGCTCTTTAAAAACGTTTAAAAAACTTAATTTAATCCCTAAAGGGAGAAAGCATCCCCCTCCCAACTCCCAGACCACTTTGGTGGCCAGACCCTCCCCTGACCGGTGCCCTGTCTCTTGAGCAGCAGAGTGACGACTCCTCAGACGAGGGTTCGCTGCACATCGACACAGATACCAAGCCCGGCCGCAATGCCAGAGTCAAGAAGGAGAGCGGGAGCTCGGCAGCCGGAATCTTGGACCTGCTGCAGGCCAGCGAGGAGGTCGGCGCCATGGAGTACAACCCTAGCAGGTGGGCCCTACCACCCAGCAGCACCCAAGAGCAGGGACCAGGCAGGCCCAGAGCTGGCCCTCGGCCACGGTGCTGGGAGCCTGTGAGGTGGACGCACAGCCAGAACCAGTCCTGAGCCACCCCCGGGCCTGGGCAGGAGGGCACACCAGAGGGTACAGATGCTGGACTGGTTGGTCGCACTGGGGCTTTACTTTCAGACAGGGCTTATTTTTCCTATGATGGTCCCTGGCGAATTCTCTCAGAGCCACAGGTTTTTAGTTTTAAGTGTTGAGACATTTTTTTTCACATGGAAATCTTATGGGAATTTCCACATACACTACAGACGGGTACCCAGGGGGCAGAGCTACAGCCCCCTCATGGTACCCCTGGGGGCCGCAGCTGCCATGGGGAGCACAGCCCTCCTGGTCCTCATGACAACTGCAGATTCCCATTGCACAGATGGGGAAACCGAGGCTCTGAGGGCTTCCACTTCCACACGGCCACATTGCTAGGAAGCGACAGAGGCAGGCCCAGAATCCCCACCTGCCTGATTCCGGAACCTGAGCTTGGGGTCCTGGAGGGTTGACTAGCGCTGGGCAGTGATGTCTGGGTGTATGCACACGGCTGGTCCCTTGTCCAGCAGGGACTTGGCTTGAGGAAGACAGAGCCCGTGCTTGGGTCCTACTCAGTTCCCAAGGTCTGCCTCTGAGACTGGTTTCCAGAATCCCTGGGCAACCCAAGGCTGTGCTGCCAAGTGCTCCACAGAGCCCCGAGCTTGCTCCGTGGGCAGGTGGAAGCTGCAGGCCAGGCCTGCTTTTAGACAGATGGGAGGTGGGCTTGGTCAAGGTGGATTAAGGGCTTGATTGAAAAGAGCTTTTGCTAAATCAATCAGCTGTATATTATTTCATAAATTACCGTTTCACATGCAATATTATGTTCATGTAATATTGATCACAAAGCCAGCTGTAAGGTACTTTCTTTTATTGGGAGTGGGGACAGATTTCCTGCTTGGCACTAGGTTGTTTCAGTCCATGTTAAGTTCCTTCTGCAGAGATGTGCTTGTAGCCGGGGATGAAGCCTGGCTGTGAGCTTCTCTTTCTAATCGGAGGTTGTGGTGCTCCACACAGCTCTTCTGGGGATGCCTGTCCTCGGGGAAGAAGTGTACGCTAGCCAACGCCTCAGTGACTGGCCTCAGTGGTGGGAGAGGCCCCTAAACACCCTAGGCCCCTCCGAGGTCCATGGAGAGGCCTCTGGGCCCTGGAGGTGGGGGGGTGTCTGAGGCCACCCAGGATGAGGGCAGACAAAGCCAAGAGCCTGGGGGCCACCAGGTGCATCGTGTGGGCATCCGGGGACTTGCAGGGGGCATGGAGATGGGGAGGGCTTTGTGCCTGTCTGTGAGAAGGCGCTGTGTCCTGGGCTCCTGGCTGTGAATCTCAGCCCAGGAGTTGGGCAGCCCATTCGTGGACACACTGATAACAAGAGACCCAGAGCTTCCCTGCTGAGCCTGTGCCTTGGGGGAGTGTGCCTGCCAGGGGCCACTGAGGGCGCTGGCCCCCCTCATCCCGCTGCAGGCAGTTCCTCTCCCAAAGCCTCCCATTTGGAATATAGGTCAGTTTTTGATGGTCCATTTGCTCTGTTTTAAGTATGGGCTGCTTGGAAAAAGCAGCTGAAGAAAATGGAGGAAAATATGTTAATTTATTGTGGATCGTTTGTTCAGTGTTTACTGCTGGGGGAAGAGGAGAGGATTTCGGTATGATAATTGGGGGATTAATGTATTATTTTCCATGCCGACTAGTTAAATGTTGCTCATTGATTCACCAGCAACCATGTGGGACCTAGGCATGCAGGCCTCACCCTCTTGGTTTGTCCAGATGGCATGGCATGGACCCTCACAGTGGGTGTCCCTGGCCAATCCCCCGTGGCTGGGTGCAGGCCGCTCGCTCTCCAGTCTTTCTGGCCTTGCAGGCCATTTGAGGAGTCAGGGCAGGGCCTGCCAGAGGCTGCCGGGCAGGCTGCATGCTCTGGCTGGCTCCTGAGTCGGGGATGGGAGAGATGTTCCTGCAGAGAAGTCAGTGAGGGCAGGAGTGACCGCACTCGCTCAGGCAGGCGCTCAGCACCGAGGCTTGTGAGGCGGGGCAGTGTGGTCCCGGCACTGCGTGGGCGGCTCCTGGCAGTGCCTTCTGATGAGCTCTAGAGGCTGACCATGCTTGATTTTCCCACTGTTGTGGCTTTCGAACCTCACTCCTGCTCAGTTCCTGTGAAACCCCAAAAGCAGTGCAGTCCAGTGTGTCTCAGACAAGGCCTGGAAGGTGGGCTGGTGAGGGCTGCAGTGAGGGAGCCTCCCCTGGCACAGGGCATCCCCCTCAGTCTGCTGGACCCTCAGAGAGCAGTGGGTTCGGGCCTCAGAGCTGTCCTGTATGGGCAGCTTTTGTCTAGGTTGCCTCGCCAGCCTTAGGACTCCCTCTGTGTCTGGGCTTCCTGTAGCAGCTTCCTCTCCTGTCCTGCTCCCGCAGAGCCTTGGTCTTAGGAGTCCTCTTGCTTCTGAGCAGGGACTTGCTCCGGTGGGGATGCCGCTTCGAGTGCCTCAGTCTCTGTGTCTAGTGACACAGGGGGGCACAGGCCTGCAGAGCTGGGTAGCCTCCCTGCCACTGCGTTGGCCTCTTTCTTGTCTCACATGTATGCTGTCTCTGGGGAGGGATTCTGGGAACACAAGCCCCCACACAGTGCCTGAGTGTGCTCACAGCCACAGGCTTGCCAGCCTCTCTCATTTGAATGGTTTTACTGAAAGTGCTCCAGTGCTTCTGGGAAGTGGTGGAGAAGGGGGTGGGCAGCTTGAGAGACAGTGATGCTGACGCAGGAGTCCTGGAGGGGTGGGTCCAGGGAGCAGAGGGAGAGGGCAGCAGGCATGCTGTGTGCCCCACGTATGCGGTGACAGGTGTGGCTGGGCCTCTGCTATAGCCCTGTGAGGTGTTAACAAGGGCAGGAGTGACTGCGCTTGCTTAGGCAGGCCCTGTGGGGTGGGGCGGGCTGCCTTGTCGGGGGTGGGTTTGGGCCACAGGGAAGTGGCAGGAGTGAGGACTAGAAAGAGCCATTGCAGGGGGGTACCTGCTGGGCTACACACAGCATCTGGAGCCCAGGGCAGACCCCTGACTCAGAGTTTGCAGGTGGGGCCTGGGCCTTGACATTTGTAAACCTGCCCAGATAGTTCTGGTGCACAGACAGCTGAGGGTCCTGGCCACAGGGGAAGGTGTGGGTTGGGGTGGGGCAGGGCTTCATGAAGGGGTTAGGGATGCAGGGAAGTCCCCAAGGAGCCCAGGACTTGGCCTTGGGGGCCCTTGCCATTCAAGCCTCTGGTTCTGTGGGGTAACAGTAGTCATCCCATCTCACCATTTTGTGAGCCTAGACAGGCTGATCACATACCGGGTGTTTCAGAAGCTGCTTCTGGAAGGAGGGGAGCCAATGTAGACAGGAGGAGGTGTGTGCACAGATAAGGGGCAGAGGACGAGGATGCAGATGAGAGACAGACTGGGCACTATGGGAGGGGCCACCTGAAGCTGAGCGCAGCAGGGAGTGGGGGGCGGGACAAAGAGAAAACCTGGGAGTCTGTGTGGAGCCTGCCAGAAGGCGGTGAGCTGAGGTGCAGATGTGCCTGTTCAGGTGCAGCTGCAGGTCCATGTGCAGGTGGGTGCAAGTGTAGATGCAGGTGCAGGTGCGTGGGTAGGTGCAGTGTAGATGCAGGTGTGGGTGTAGATGCAGGTGCAGTTGTAGATGCAGGTGTGAGTGTGGGGGTAGGCACAGGTATAGATGCAGGTGTGGGTGTGGGGGTAGGCACAGGTGTAGATGCAGGTGCAGGTGTGTGGGTAGATACAGGTAGTTGAAGGTGCAGGTGTGGGGTAGGCACAGGTATAGATACAGGTGCAGATGTGTGGGTAGATACAGGTGCAGATGTGGGTGTGGGTGTAGGTACAGGTGTAGATGCGGGTGCAGGTGTGTGGGTAGATACAGGTGTAGGTGCGGGTGTGGGTGTAGGTACAGGTGTAGATGCAGATGTGGGTGCAGATGTGGGTGTGGGTGTAGGTACAGGTGTAGATGCGGGTGCAGGTGTGTGGGTAGATACAGGTAGTTGAAGGTGCAGGTGTGGGGTAGGCACAGGTATAGATACAGGTGCAGGTGTGTGGGTAGATACAGGTGTAGGTGCGGGTGTGGGTGTAGGTGCAGGTGTAGATGCAGATGTGGGTGCAGGTGTGGGTGTGGAGAGAAGTTGCTGGTCACTAGCGTGTGGCATGGAAGGGAGGTGGCTGCACTGCCCCATCTTAGGGTGACATGTGGGAATGTTCCCTGCAAAGTGTGGTGGAGAATGCCCAGGGCTAGTTCTGCAGTTGGAGAGAGGCACAGGGTGGACCCAGCGGGTACACAGAGTGGCTGGGGTACAGGAGGGAGGCCACTGAGTCTGCTTGCCGGCTTTAAGGTGAGAGGGACCAGAGCGTGACCATGTTAGGGTCTGGCCTCCCCTTCCCATCTGCTGTCTTCCCAAGTCTCCTCTCCATGCCCATCTCTGTCCCCAGGCCTCCAGCCCTCCCTGTGGAGTATGGGTGGATGAGCAGAGCTGGATTGGGGGAGTGGCTGGTCTCTTCCAAGGGAGAAGTCATAACCTCACTGCCACCCTCTCTGCTCCACATCCTCTGCTTGCCACCCAGGCCGGGAGTTTGTGCGGGCCATGGGCTGCAGGCCAAGAATGCTGGGCTGAGTGCCTGTTTCTCTGTGCCCCTAGCCAGCCCCCGGCCTCCCCCAGCACGCAGGAAGCCATTCAGGGAATGCTGTCCATGGCCAACCTGCAGGCCTCCGACTCCTGCCTGCAGACCACGTGGGGCGCTGGCCAGGCCAAGGGGAGCTCGCTGGCGGCTCATGGTGCCCGGAAGAATGGGAGTGGCAGTGGCAAGAGTGCAGGCAAGCGACTGCTAAAGAGGGCTGCCAAGAACAGCGTGGACCTGGATGACTATGAGGAAGAGCAGGACCACTTGGACGCCTGCTTCAAGGACTCAGACTACGGTGAGTATCACTCCTGCGTGGGGCAGGGTCCACTCTCAGCCCTAGGCCTGGCTGAGAATGGAGACAGTAGCATAAACACGGAGCTCTCCAAGTTACAGCGGCTTCAGCTCAGCAAAACCCTTGGCCTCTGCCTGCTGTCCCTGGGAGACCCTCCTGTGAGCGAGGCTGGCCCTGGCCCACATCTGGCAGACAGACTTGGGCTTAGTGGTGGGGCTTGCCCTAGTTTGACAAACAGAATGACAGCAAAGTGAACTCCTGTTTTCTGCGCTCCGTGGAGGTGTGTGGCGCCGGGCGCCTGCTTGCCTTCTCCTGAACCTTGGGGTCCTGGGCTTTCCTTGACAGGCCTCAGAGGTTGAAGGACCACAACCTGCAGTAAGTGCAGGATGGCACTTGGCTTGTGAGGGTCACAGGTCACCGCGTTACAGTGTTTGGGCAGCTCCAGGCACAGGTCGTGCCTTGCAGGGCTCCTTTCACCAAGACTTGCAAGGCATGGCTGGGGCCGCCAGAGCCGACCCAGTTCCGTGGATGTTACACGATTTCCTTTTTCATAGCAGCAGAGACTTTTCACCAAACAGAGCCTTTACTGGAGCCTCAAAGTGCTTCTCGCAGGAGCCGAGATGCCCTAGTTTGATTGTGGGGCCCCATCCTTCCCTGGTCCCCTACTCTCTGCTGCAGCTTCCTCCAGGTGGGGCCTCTGGGGATTTCAAGCTCTGTGAACAGATGTACGGAGGGCAGCCATTAGAAGCCAGGGGCTCGCAGGCACCTGGGCCAGACTGGGCAGATGAGGCTGGTCAGGTAGATGCAGGCGCCCTCTTGTCTGATGAGTCCCTGCCCCCTGGATAATCTCTGGGTTACCTGTGCCTATGTCTGGGGTGTCGTCACCATGGGCAACTTCCATCACAGCTGACAGTGGCACAGCCTAGCAGACCTGAGCATAGGCCCTGGGGTCACCAGTGAGGAAGGTCTGTGGCCACCTGCAGCCCCTTCCCCCCATGGCCCTGCCCTGCACTCAGCGGACCCCACCTTCCCTCTGCCTTCCTCTAGTTTACCCCTCACTGGAGTCAGACGAAGACAACCCCGTCTTCAAGTCCCGGTCGAAAAAAAGGAAAGGCTCAGACGATGCTCCCTACAGCCCAACAGGTAGTGCTGGGACAGGGGTGGGGGGTCCACCCGACACCTAGTGTGGCAGCTGTGACTTTGTCTGTGGTCCCTCCAGCCCCTGTGAATGTGGGCTCAGCTCTATGCCTGTCCTGTCCTGACAGCTGGGCAGCCCATCTCACTGGGCATGGTCAGCTGCCTGCAGGAGTGCCATGGGTTTCACTTCTGCTTTGCTTCTGGGGGTCTGGGAGCCCAGATGTGCTTCAACGCAGCCCCCACTCAAAAGCCCTCACTCCCCTGGCCAGCCCTTCTCTGGTTTCTTCCTCAATGGGCAGCTCTGTGAGGGGGCACCCCCTTGATGGTGGCTGAGAGACACCTGCTGGGGCAGCCAGTGGGGTGAGACCACCTTCCACATTACCCTCACCCGCCTGCCCAGTCTTTCTGATCTTGCTGGGCCTCCTGGGCTGTGCCCCCTGGGCTGTGCCCCATGCAGATCCCACTGTAGCATGTTTCCCCTTGGGTGGGGCAGCTGACTCTGCCCTGTTGTGAAATGGCTTCACATCCGGGGAGCCCTGTGCTCAGGCCTGCCTGGCCAGGGGGACAGGCTGGGGTGGGGGCAGGGGAGCCCCAAACCAGGAGGGGTGGGTAGGCCATGGCCTACAGCTTGATGAGGCTGGCCCTTCTCTTCCACAGCAAGGGTTGGGCCATCGGTGCCGAGACAGGACAGGCCTGTGCGTGAGGGTACACGGGTCGCCTCCATCGAGACTGGGCTGGCGGCCGCTGCAGCTAAGCTTTCCCAGCAGGTGAGGAGGGGCAAAGGAGAGCGACACATGGCAGCCACGTCCCTGCTACCCCCACCTGGGCTCAGGCTCCCCAAGGCACCTGTTTCTCTACCCCAGGCACAGACCCCCTGAGCCAGGGGTGGTCAGAGGCTTGGGGACATTTGATTAGAGAGTGCCCTATTCCCTCAGGCCCTAAATTCCCCATGTGGGGTCCGGGGGAGCTAGGAATTGACATATGGGGCCTTGACACTGGACAGCTCCATTACTGCCAAGGCTGGGCTGCTCTTTGGTGCGACAGCAGCTTGGAGAGAGACCCCCTTCCCCGTTTCCCTCCTTCCCTCCTTTCCCCCTTCCCTCCTTCATCCCCTCTCCCTCCCCTCCCTT